GCCAACAGCTCAGCCTTCCTTTGCCCTGCACGGAGCCAGGGTGCGCGGGAGGCTCCCTCCGGACACCTGGAGGCACAAGGAGGTTTGAGAACCAGGAACTGCACGGGAACCAATTTCTCTGTGGCAGCTGATACCTTGTTGGTAGGGAAAAGTAGGCTATATATAGGGTAGAAAAACGAGGAAGGAGAGGAGCCTTGGGGCTGCATAAAAGTGCTGTTACGTTGCTTGAAGGGTCAGGAGGTTTGGGCTCCCCAGTATAACCTCACAGAGCAGGGCCAATGCTGGATGCAGCTTCCCCAGGAGCGCTTCCTAGGGAGCTTGCATGAATTCTCTATTCCAGCTCATTTTCCCTCTGGTTCGGGAATATTTGCTGAAACTGAATTTTACAAAAGTATCAGAGAACGTTTCAAAATGAAATCCGAACTGATACGTTGGGACATTCATAATGCAAAAGCATCTGAATTATCTGGCTCTCCCTGCTCACCCGGAGCCACCAAAGGAGGGGAAGAAAAAAAAAAAAAAGCCTTCCAAAGAAAGAGAAACCAAATCTGAAGCCATCGCCCAGCAAGACCAGATCCTGCAGAAAGCACCTATCGCAACAAAGAAGCGTGCATCTCCTGGAGAAGCAAGCTTCCATGACAGAGCTGCAAATCCCTATCTTCAGAGCTCCCACCGAGGAGAGCTAGATAACCTTGGAAGTAGAGCCAAAACCCACTGTGGAGGTAAGCGCGCAACCCGTGCTGAGGGGTGGGGGTGAATTAAGTCTCTGTGATGTTTCAAGCAACCTGACACGATTTAGGCATCAGGCTCAGGCTGAAAGTAGCAGCATCCCACCTGGTTTACCCAGTAGCCCTTTCTATTAAACCAGGAGCGTTGTTAAGAGACGCAAAAAAGACTCCTAAGAGAAACAACCCCCAAACTTCTTAGATTCCAAATCAAAAAATACCCTCAAAACTGCACAATTAAAAACAAAATTGAAATAGCATCCATACAGCGTCAACAGCAACAAGGAAAAGCATCCACACGTTCCAGCTCGCACGAGAAATCCCTGCGGATAAAACACAGCCAAGCAGGAGAGACGGCAGAGTTCACAGCCCGGGTCGCCAAGTCCCAAAGCCAGGGGAAGGCACGGAGAGAGTCAGCAAACGAGCCCCGTGCAAAAAACGAAGACAACAGCGACCCTGAGCTGAGAACGCATTTGTAATAGGTCTATAAAGGTGCCAATCTCCTATTTATAAAGCGGATAAATACCTACGCAGCTACACAGGAAGCCATGCATAAAAATCCTGCACCAGGCTCCCAAGAAAACTCCACACCGACGACTTCGGCTCCCCTATCTGCATCGATCTACAGCAAAGCTGTTCTAAGTGCTTTTTTCCCCTCTCCATAGATAACAACAGAAGACCTAAACGCTGTGCGTTTTATCTGAATTACCAGCATCCGCTAGGCCTGCCTTTAACTATGCAGGCAGCAATCGTGGAAGGGAAAAAAAAAAAAAAAAATCAGTACTGCTTATTCAAAGGCTGGAAACGTCTCACAGCCCTAGTTGTTACAGGGTGATTTTCTTGCATGTCTCTTCAAACAGAAAAGCAGCATGGGAAAAACCACAGCTCTGAAGTAGCAGCTGGACTGACCAAGCAAAATGCTTGGGGAAAAAGCAAAAAATACCATGTGAAACCACTCCTATTAGACAGGCATCTACAGAGGCCCTTGAGAAGCCAACAGGGAACACCAGGCAGAGACAGAAGCCCAAGTTCCCACAGTTTGCATTTCCTACCGCTGCCTTCCCAGTTCGTCACGGGCTCTCCCAGGCTCCGACCCACCGCGACTCACCTCCCACCGCAGCGCTGCTCCTGACTGCCTAGACTCTGCTTTGAAAAATGACGGTTAAAGGTGCAAGTTTTGACAAGGCATCTGGTAACACCTCTCAATAACTTCAAAAAAAAAAAATCCACCTTTCAATTTCTGCACGGCACCACATCTACTACCCCTTTAGCTTTTCAAGAGCATCAACAGCTGACGGATCCAAAAAAACGTGAAAGAGCACTTTGCAAGGTCCAAAATCTTTCTGGGAGAGCTACCTGGGGAAAGCAAGCTGACAAGAAGGCCCAAGAACACACTCGCCAGCTCCCCGAAACCTCGCGTTTCTGGTGCGAGGCACAGATCTGCCAAGAAGCCTGCGGGTGGCCATCCAAACGCTTTTCTTTTCACAAACCGCTCTGCTGGCAGAGGGCTCACACGTCCCCTGCTCCGCTCCCGAGACGGATTTGCCGAGAGGTTAGCTCCGGCCGAGATGTGATCAGTAGACACGCCGACATCTGCAACAGCAGCAGCTCTCAAACTCCCTTCGTCTTCCCAGGGCCGCTTCGTCCTAATTAACACACATTTGTGGGAAGAAACAATTTAAAGAGGCAGCAGGGAGGAGAAGGTGCAATTTCATCTGATAAAATTTTAAAGGGGGACTATCTTCGAGCCAGAGGAGAGCGGCAGCAGGGAGGGATGCATTATTTAGACGTGGGTTCGTGTTTGTCACCCCCAGCAGCAGCCACGCGATTGCCAGGCAAAGCACAGTACCTCAGAGGCAAAAAACCCAAGCGCCCCAAGACGAACATCGCGTAGCAACATACGCTTAAATAATCCGTTTATTGCATTCTCTGATGGTAACTTTAACAAGGCACAAGTTTTACAGCTAATATTTTGGAAAACTGCAACGCTTTTTACGGCACGCCAAGAATTCGTAGGAGAACGAGTCTCACCTAAGTTTACTTCTTCCATCAGGGGGCTAAATAGATTTTTCACATAAAATTACATATCACATAGTGCCTATAAAAAGATGCAGCTGTAAACGTCCCCATCTCATCCCCGCAGCTGAAAGTTAGTATCACGACGAGCGGAAATTCATACAGCAAAACGGCTAGCTGCAAAAGATTTTACACCTGTCTGGAAACTCTTCCTTCAGTGCTGTGTTCCTGCATACGCTACCAGATGCTGGACTGGGGTTGCGTTGTTGCTGTGTGGCATGCAGCGCCGAGGAGGCGGGGTGTGTTTGACTATCACTTGAAGTCAACATTTCTCTCTCTCTCTTTTCTTGGTGTGTTTGACTATCACTTGAAGTCAAAAGAAAAGAGAGAGAGAGAAATGTTAAGTCAAAGAAGAATTAACCTTCTCCAAAAAACGCACAGGCCATCTCCTGCGGTGCTGACACAATAGTTTTCACTTGCAAGCAAATGAAAGTTGAACTTAAACGTCAAACGTTCATTTATCAGCGTTAAACTAGCTCCCCCACACGCACTTTTGCCTCACGGGCGTTTTTCTTATTTGTTTTAAGTGGGCTCATGAGTGCGTTGGCAGAGCTGTTCCTGTTCCTTTCTGTTTGCGAGTGGTCGCCCAGCTTACTCCATCTCCTCCGGCCTACCAGTTGTCCCCAGTGACACAGTTGCCTGTTCTAGGCAACGTTTTAAAAAACAAAAATCAGACTTCCTCAAAGGTTCCCTTTCAGGAAACCCATTATCATTAATGGCAAGTCTCCCAGAGTCTGTTCTTCATTTCTTTTTCATTTTAAAATGTCAATGCGTGTCGTCAGAATGCAATCGTTTTCCTTAATCATCTGCAGCAGTGAAGTAGAAAGCGCTCGTCTTCAGGGTGCGGAAAAGTCACTTGCTTTATTCATATCACACTCAGTTTTCAACAGGATGCTTTCCAGGCTGGTTTTGCCCTCAAGAATCAAGGCTTACACGGGCCCGTCCTGGAGGAACCTCTGACCAATAACGATCCTGCCACCAGGAAACTCAGACTGCTTTGCCAGGACTGCCACTGAAAGGCAGACACGAGTGCGAGGACCCACGCTAGGAGACGTCAGAGAACCCTGAAGGAAAAGCCTTCCAGAAAAACAAACCCGCAGGAAACAAATCAGGTATCCTTCTAAGGCTGGAAACCAGAAAAAGAATTTGGGTATTGCTGCCATCTTGACGTTCGTCAAAGCCAGAAAGGCGAACGGCAGGGCGTCGTCCCACTCCATTATCGCTTCTCAAGAGTTGCTCCTCAGTGCAACAGCTACATACAATCTGTGCGGTTTGCTAATTGTTGTGTTTTCCCCAATAATCACAAAGAGAAACTGCTGACAGGTTTGAGCAAGAGGTTTCTTAAAGAGCTGTTGACAACTCCCAAGAAACTTTTCCATTTAGAACGCATTCTGCCTACATTTCATATATTTTCTGTGTTTCTTAAGTTCCCCAATTTAGCATACAAAGCTATTTGCATGAAAATAGCATCTTGAGAGTTTCTTACGGAAGACTTACAATACCTTTCTTTAGGGAAAAAAAAAAAGCACATAATTGTAGAATTGTGTGTTGAACGTCTCAGGTACATGGGGTAAGAGGAGAACGAAGCACAAAACTGATTGCAAACATTTTTCTTTCATTTTAGATCCCATCAAGTTCTCATTCTCCAGCTGCCACTCACAATGGTACTCCTGGATACATTAATCTAGCGCCATTATGATTCGCTAAAGGCAAGGAGTGCTTTTATTAAAGCAAAGACAAACGAATTTAATAGTTTGACTCTCTGCGTTTCCAAAAATACACACAGACTTCCTCTTGACCTGCAGGTAGTAAATTTTATAGTGATATATTCCTGAACTATATTCACTCCCAGAGAAAGATAAAACAGCCCATCTGGAAAGCACCCGTTTCCTCCAAGTCCTAGAAAAATGACTTGCAACCTATGATGCATCTCACAGGTCAGCAGAGCGTTAGCTGGGAGAAGAAAACCGTTTCCAGATGAGATGGTCCTACGTAAACCCACAGGACTATGAACTGCACCAAGACCGATTTGTAGTGGTGAAGCGTTATGCACGCAAGGAGATATCTCTTTGGTAGCCAGAAACCACATCACGCTGGACTTTGTACTTCCAATCAACATCTTCAATTGCACCAGACAGCAAACAGGCAGTTAGCGTTTCAACGTGCTCCAGACAGGAAAAACGTCAAAGCTACGCATTTGCCAAATTGTACACGTGCGGGAGTTACCAAGGATAACCAAGACACGGGTGATGGCTTGCAGCCACCGTGGGGCACCCTGCCTGCGCAAAGGCCTTGGACGACAGATGTTCTCCGGACCCTTCCGGACTAAATGTTTCTGCAGGTTACCAACAAATACAGCGAGCTGGAGCCAATCACTTGGGCCTTCCAGCTTTACCTGCCTACTTCTAAAAGCAAGGACTTTCTGGCCAAACCCGTACCACACAGATGATCGCAATGGACGCAAAATCAGTTTTGCCACTCCAGTGGGAAGCACCACTCAGTATTTGGGGGGCAAGACAGGACTGCAGAGAGCACTCTTCCAGTCTTCAGCCTGTTGCACACTAGACGACTCATCCCGTGGCACCAGCTAGTGGAAACAACAGAACCGAAGGAGAAACACCACCTAGCTCCCTTACCCAGGCAAGCCTGTTCTTTCCTCTCATTTCAACCCACAACCAAAACTTCTCCCAACACCTCTAAAAGTTAACAGCAACTACAATTTCCGTCAGACGACCACACTCGGTTCCCTCCACGACTCAAGGGACGTCCGTCAGAGCTGTTCTTAGAGGTGAGAGGAAGAAACAGAGGATCATGCAGCTTACCGTAGCTCCAGTGTACCTACATTTTACCACCTATCAGGCAGATTACGCTGCTACTTCAATTGCCCGTGACTCTCAGAATTACAACATCAGATTTCCACAAAAAGTCCAAGGAAGAGAGACACAGCCACCCTATAGGCAGGCTATGTTCTGAAGAACTCTGGAGACACCATGTTGCCTATTTTATGTCTCAGACAGTTCGCAAGTACTTTTACACAGTGGCCTACTCAGAGCGGCAGCTTCACGTACCCGTGTTCACCCAGACCCGGGTCTCGGAGGCATTCACACGTAGAGACCAGAGACCGTTTCACCAAGGGCCGTATCAACTGGGGATGCCGCTGCAATAGCGTTTTGCTTGAACTTCCGAATTAAGTTTCACATTTCTGCTTCACGGTCCTTAGTAAAGGAGACACTTCTCAGACAGAAATCTTGAACTCCGATGAGAAAAATTACTGCACAAGGCCAAGGCTTAATAAACTATTTTACCCACCTGACCAGGTGCTTCCAGAAATTAACATCATGCTTCAGATACCCCTGGGCGCACAGGAACACGACTTGCCACAGGCTTGATTTGGAGCGATCTCAGCACAGGGGAAGTCAAGTCGATCGATAGTCTCTCTCTCATAACGCAACCATCACCCTCAAGATCACTGGAATGTCACATGTAAGAATCTCTTCTGCCACCTTCTAGGGAGGATCACAGGAATCGTGTACGATGTTAGACATGAGTAAAGAGAAAAAAAGCAAACAAGGGAAAGAAACCTCAAGAAGGAAGGGTGAACAGCATTTATCCCAAAACTGGAATTGCAACAAGGCTAGGGTTTCTTGAATAATTAATCCTTGAAGGATTTTAAGATCTGGCTATGTTGTCCTTTCATCTATAAGCAATTTTTTCCGCACACACACGTACCTCCAAATAGGACTTTATTCTAAATAAACTAAATAAAGTTTATTCCAAATAGATGCCAGAGGCCTTATAGATTACCGCAAGCGCTCAGATCCTCCGTTTCATGCTTCATCCAAAATAATACGGACACCATCATCACGAAAAGTCACGACGACAGAACCTGGAGGAGGAGGAGAACAGCAAATTAGCCAATATGAACCCAAGCAGCACCTGGACTTCCCTTTGTGGGCATCCCAGCTTTGATGCTGCTTATCTCATGAACACTGTCAAGATCATCTCCTAAAACAGCACAGGGGGAGAGAGGTGGGGGTTTGGGGTTTTTTTTTTTTAAACATGAAAAGATGCCCAATTATCTTTGTGGCTGGCAGTATTCAGCATATCGTCAGACAAATTCATTTAAAAAAAAATTACAAGGTCACCTCCAAGCAACTCTTAAGTAGCTATTCTCATGCAAACGTTTGTGTGTGTAAACGCAAGAAAAACACAAAGAAAAGGAAATAGACTGCAAAGTAGGAAAAAAATCACTGAGTAGAGGAGCTCTCCCATGAGACAGCAGGGTTTTTTTTGTTTTTTTTTAAAACACTTCTGTCTGTTACTGCAAAGGGAGGAAGAAAAGACAAATTAGAAAGATGAGAAGGTAGCAAAACACAAGGTCAGCAACAAGGTATTATTGAATTCAGCCAAGGTTAATCAGGGAAGCCAAGTTTTCACCTTGGCGCCTTCGCCAGGTACCTAAAAATGATGTAAGGATCCAGCTCAAGAAACATTAGATTCTCCCATTTCTGCCTCACAAAGAAGTATTTGCAAGACCTCGGTTAATTAAACCAATAAAGCACAAGTGAAAGCCTGGCCTTATGCCACATCTTTACTAACATGTTGTGCAGGACTGTTGCATTAACAGCTGTTATCCTAGCACCGAGGGGGATGGGGGAGACCAGAGCAGGAGAAGGAACAACACAAACCAGCTGATTTTCAATTAACAGTTGAAATAAAAATGAAGTGCTTTTAGCACTTGGCCTTCAAAGTGCCAGTACGCTTAAATAACACACATACCTGGCCGCTCTATAGCCCTATTAAATCAACTTAGCATTTGTTTTAAGCCAAGCTTAACAGCACTCATTTAACGAGCTCTTCTTCAAGCATGACTCAACACACAGGGAGGAAGCGTTGCAGGGCAAAGAAAAACATCTCAGAGGAATGCC